TTTTTTTTAATCTTTAATCTACACTTACATGAAGAATACTATGTTTACTATGCTCTCCCCTATATCAGGTCCCCCCTAAAAACCACATTACGGTTACTGTCCATCAGCATAGCAAAATGTTGTAGAATCACTACTTGTCCTCTCTGTGTTGTATAGCCCTCCCTCCCCTTTCTCCCTCCCCCCCATGCATGCTAATCTTAATACCCCCCTTCTCCTTATATTTTTTAAATATATTCTAGATTTAGTAGTTATCAGATATATAATTTGCAAAATTTTTCTCCCATTCTGTGGGTTATCTGTTCACTTTCTTGATAGTGTCCTTATGCACAAAAGACTTTGATTTAGTTCAGTTGAACTTCTGTTGTTGCTTGTGCTTTTGGTGTCCTATCTAAGAAATCATTGCCTCATCTAAGCACATGAAGATGTACTTTTTTTCCCCCTGAGTTTTGTAACTTCAGCTCTTACATTTAGGTCTCTGATCCATTTTGAGTTAAATTTTGTATATGTTTTGAGGCAAAGCTTCCACTTCATTCCTTTGCATGCGGATGTTTAGTTATTCCAGGACTGTTTGTTGAAGAGACTTTCGCATTGGATTGTCCTAGACACACTCCTGTCAAAAATTGTTGGCCATAGATGTATGGGTGTATTTCTGGGCTCTTAGTTCTATTCCATGATCTGTTTATTTGCCTTACTGCTTTTTTTTTTTTTGTCTGCTAGGAAGCTTAGAGCCCAATGAGCAACCTTCTTGCAGGTGTCTAGGAACCTCAGGGATGGGATTGGTGGACTCACATCACCCCTGGCTTCCCCTGTTAACCAAATCCCAGGTTTCTTTGTTGTTGTTATGTATGCTTTATTAAAATATCTTTTTTTTGTAATGAAGTGTGACACATTAAAAGCAGTATCCTTATACTTCAGATGTTTTAGTAATCAGTTCTAACTGAAAACTGGCTAATTTATACATTTCACTAGTGTCAGCTGAAAAATGCGAATTTTCTGATATCTCAAATGTTTCCCCCTGTCAAATTATTAACATCAGCTGGTGTCATTGCTTTTAATTTGAATTCAGATTAATTTCTTAGATTAGCACCTACTTGACTGCTTGGCTCTGTTTCTGTCATTAATAACTTATTTTCATCTCCCCTCTGCATCTTAAATGACTATATTATGTACACTGAAAAGTGTCTTGAATATGATTTGGTGCTGTGTTCAGAGAACTGTAAATGTTTAGACCTGTTTATTCAATAATCCCATTTCCAAGTATCTAAGCTAAGGAGTAATACTAAATATAAGAAAAACGCACACTCACCAAAATTTTTATCATACCTAATTCATAATTGTGAAAAATGTAAAATAACTCACGTCTTAGAGTGAGGAATAGGTAAATTAGCTCTACTGTAGCTACTGAATGGAATATTATATATGTTTTTAAATTACACTAATAAAAACTACTAAGCAACTTTAAAATTAATGTGAGGTAATACCAGGTGAAAGAAGCAGTGTGTGAAACAGACATATCAAAAGAGTATAAGGAAATACACAAATGGTTTTTTTTTTTTTGAGTTGATAGGAGAATGCCTGATTTGCGATTCCTGCTTAAAGGTATCATTCTTTCGTGTGTCTCGATTTTAAAATCTAGAATTATTGAAATTTGCAGTTCTCAACATAATCCTTTTTTTTTCTTACCTTCAGGTGTGAATCTGGCTATACTGGACAGCACTGTGAAAAGACAGACTTTAGTATTCTCTATGTAGTGCCAAGTAGGCAAAAGCTCACTCATGTTCTTATTGCAGCTATTATTGGAGCTGTACAGATCGCCATTATAGTAGCAATTGTCATGTGCATAACAAGGTTGGTAATGATCTTGGAAATGTCAACTTTAAATTAGAGGTGGGTGGTTGTTAAAGAAGAATCTTGAAGCACGCTCAAATGACAGGGGCTTTAAGTCCTCCAGTTTATTAGGAAAAAGTCCTCGGATCAGTTCCCTAGGGTTTCCATGTAGGCATGATCTCTTCCTATTTTGCTTCTTTAGCGTAATAGACAAGAACTCATTCTCACAGTTACAGGTATATCTGGGCTGCAGGCAGAAGAAGCATGGCAATATTTAACAGCATGAAGGAATTTAGGAATCTTAGAATTGTGAGCCAATTCTAAGCACTACACTCGGGGCGATAATGGTAATGCAGAATGGTTTACACGTGCACAAAAGAGCCATGCAGAAATTTTTTTAGCCCTGCAAAACTGCAAGGTGTTTTATGCCTAATAATACCCTTTATCCATAGTAAATATAGTAAGGAAGAAGTCAGAGGTTAAAGAATACTGTGTTTCTTATTATATCATTGTCTTAATACTACTTTATTTTCTGGAATAGTCATAAGTAATAAACTGTAGAGTTCTCTGTCATAGCTAAAACCATTAGAGTTTGTCATAACTAAACACCAAAGTTATGGACATATTTGCAGTGCAACTTGTTTAAAGTGGGTGTTTTCCAAGCTGAATGGAGATACATAAGTCAGAATTAAATTGGACCTAAGAAAGTCAAAGCAGATCAAGTTCATATTGTCTTTATGTTTCCAAGTCTCATATCTTTTCTTCTGGCCTCCCTCTTTCTACCCTTAAGGTTTAGTTGAAGGTTTAGTTTGGAAGTCCCATATACTTTTCTGCATTATTCTGGGCAGAGGATTGTAGCACATTAAGTCCAGATATTGGCAGGCCAAATTGGATTTATGGCTCTTCTGTCCAAGGTCTGGATAAAAGCCAGACCTTAAGTACTCTCAGCCATCTGGAGCTGAAATGATAAATCTAGAGGTAATAAAAAGAAAAAGTTCTCTCCATAACAGATATTTTTCATAAAATTTAGGCAGTAAAGTCAGTAGAATTTTTTTCCCCATTGAACGGATGATGTGTCCTTAAGCAAGACTACTGAGTATAAAATTGTGCAGTAAATTAAAGTAGGGACATAATGATATAAAAAATAATGACAACAGAAAGAGAAGATAGAAAATAAAATCATGTAAGAGCAGGGCTGCCTGTGGCCATTTAATATAGGCTTAGAGGTTAAGTGATTTATCCAACTGTAGTTATCTAGCTAGTGAGTGAAAGTGCTGGGATTTGGGTTCATGCTGCCTAATTCTCATCGACTTTCCCCTGACCCTTCAAGAGGAGGGTCCATGTTCAGTCATCTTGGGAAATATATTTGCCAAGTATGACCATAGCATAGGAGCAAGGTTTAAACTTCATTTCGTTGTGGTTCAGTTTTTGAACAGGGGAAACACTTGGTATGAACCATTTTTTCAGAGCATTAATGTGAATGTCATTTGCAAAATTCACTGTAGGAGAGAAAATGTGAGGTTGGGGGAGATCATTTAGGATATTATTAGAGTAAAGCAGGAGTGGAGTAGCAAATGACTGGGAAGGTGAAAAAAAGAAAGGAGTTAAAAAATAAGGGAAAATTTTGAGACCAGATGATAATGCCTTCTTTAAGAAAATCAGAGGACATTAGAGTCAGTGGGAAGCTGACTTAGAGGAGGGAGGAAGCGGAAGCCCTGGGCTCAGAAGTACCTTACTCAAGGCCATCGAGATAGTTAAGCCCTTTTACACTTCCTACCAGCCTTCTATTCTGCTCTGTGCTTCTGATCTCAGTGTGCCATAATCCTCAACTCCTAAATTAAAACTATCTGGCAGAAGATACGGAAGCAACCTAAATGTCCATCAGTAGATGAATGGATAAAGAAGATGTGGTACATATACACAATGGAGTATTACTCAGCTATAAGAAAAAAACAGATCCTACCATTGATCCAACATGAATGGAGCTAGAGGGTATTATGCTCAGTGAAGTAAGCCAGGCGGAGAAAGACAAGTACCAAATGATTTCACTCATCTGTGGAGTATAAGAAAAAAGGAAAACTGAAGGAACAAAACAGCAGCAGAATCACAGAACCCAAGAATGGACTAACAGTTACCAAAGGGAAAGGGACAGGGGAGGATGCGTGGGAAGGGAGGGATAAGGGTGGGGAAAAAGAAAGGGAGCATTATGATTAGCATGTATAGTATGTGTGGGGCACGGGAGGGCTGTGCAACACAGAGAAGACAAGGAGTGATTTTGCAGCATCTTACTACACTGATGGACAGTGACTGAAGGGGTATGTGGGGGGGACTTGGTGAAGGGGGGAGCCTAGTAAACATAATGTCTTTCATTTAATTGTAGAGTAATGATACCAAAAAAAAAATTTATCTGGCAGGTAGTTTTCAAGGTAGTACCCTCCAGTTTATACCCCCAATCCCTTTGCTGCCTTCACAGACATTTAGACGTCACAGAGTATTTTTTTTTCAAATGTTTATGATATATTGTTAAATGAAAAAAAAGTTAAAAATAGTATATACAGTGTGATTCTAATTTTAGTTTCCATATTTATATATATTATTAGTAAGTTATCATTGATACACAATCTTATGAAGGTTTCACATGAGCAATGTGTGGTTACTACATTTCCCCCTATTATCAAGTCTCCCCTACATTCCACAGTACAGTCACTGTCCATCTGCATGATAAGATGCTATAGAGTCACTACTTGTCTTCTCTGTGCTATACTGCCTTCCCCCTGCCCTCCCTACATTATGTGTGCTGATCGTAATACCTCTTAGTCACCTTCTCCCTACCTTCCTGCCCACCGTCCCCATCCCCTTTCCCTTTGGTAACCACTGGTCCCTTCTTGGGGTCACCACAGTGTATTTTTAACTGTGTTATAGTGTATTCACTGCCCACTGTCTCTATGACTGAAGGGTATCATAGATCTTCCTGGTAGTGTTTTGTTGGTGGTATTTTCTCCCCTTTAATGCCCCTCTCTCTCAGATTTAGAATATTATAATTATGTCCTCAGAATTATATCCATTGAATTATTAAGGAGTGCCTCTCCCACACAGCCCACTATGGGACAACTGTTCCACTTATTCCACAGTGGCTGTTCCCATGTGAGGAATCTTCCTTTAAAAGGATGTTTCCATTGACTGACTTACGAAGACTGCATGAGTAAGATTTTCTTTTATGCCTGGAATCTTCTTTCGTGGTTTTAGACTTAGAGAGTGACAGACTGGTAGGGACCCTGAAACATCATCCTCACCAAATCCCCTTATTTTATAGATGAAGAACCATGTCCCTGGGAAGTTGAAACTTTCCCAAGGTCATGGGAGTAGTGACAGTCAAGGTCATGGGGGTGTGAGACCTCTCTGTCAGTTTCCCATTTATGAAATGGAAATGATTCCAGCATTGTCTACCTCCAAGTGTTTTTATGAATACTGGTGAAATAAAATTTGTGAAAAGCAGTACATAAAATGGAAGTGTTACCATCAAGGCTTTTAAGCCAAGGCAAGACAGTGTTCTCTGAAACTGAATGAAAACATGGAACTTTTGAGTAGTACACTCATCGTTGCAAGACTTTCCATCAGATTACAAATTCTTGCAGGTGGAGATTTTTGAGGTGAGCCCAGCTCTTAATATTTATATAGAAAGAAGAGTTGTATAGCTAGTTTTTGGCAGAGCCCTAACTCAAAATCACCAGAATTCATCACCATCCCTTGTGCACATTGTGTAGCACAGCACCTCATGCATTGTACAAGCTCATGTTTGCATTCTAGTGGCCAGACACAAAAGCAGTCACAACACAGTGAGGGTTCTTCCGCTGTGGAGAAACACTTGTGATAATATGAGGGCACAGTCAGGGGATAGCCCTTATTCCCACCATGGCATTTTTTAGTGGTTTCTCTGGTTTGCCCGAACACAGTGTAGAGTGACTTCTGAGTTGTTGTCTGAAATCTCTAGACTTTTCCTCTGGATTCAGATCTGAGGTTAATAAGCGTACTTCTTCCTGATTTCTCCTTCATCTAAACTGTCCTTGTTATTTTGGGGGTGTCAAAGCCCAGGGTAAAGACATAGGCCAGGACCCTTTCTGCTCTCACAGGTTTATATGTTATCAGTCAGTGTGGCTGGGGAACTGCGAGGCCAGAGGCAAGGTGAGATTTGTCTCAGGGATGCACATGCAGCAGTAGAGACATGGGGGTGTTTTGCTTGTGTTCCTACCTGCATTGTACACCTAACCCTCTCACCTCCCAGTTTTGTAGGGAGTTAGCAGTCTGAAATGTTGGTCCTCACCATGTCTTGCATCAAGGAGCATCCTGTCTCCCTTTCATGTGATCACATGCAGGATGGCTTTATGTATGAAATGTGTGCTACTTTGGAAACATTTGAAAGATTCTAAACAAAATGACATTTTTCTTTTTCTTTTTTTAACTCAACAGAAAATGCCCTAAAAACAACAGAGGTCGACGACAGAAGCAAAACCTCGGTCATTTTACTTCAGATACGTCATCCAGAATGGTTTAAACTGAGGAGGACTTTTATATGTACACTGACCATGTGATGTACATTTATTATGTCTTTTTTTAAAGAATGGAAATATTTATTTCAGAGGCCTTATTTTTGGACATTTTTAGTGTAGTCCTGTTGGCTCGTATTTAGAATATTCAGCTACAGCAGTTTTGGACTGTTCAGTAGTCTTTGTTTTATGTTTTTAAATACAGAAATTGATTTCACAAATTTGTACCACATGGTAATTCTAAGACTTGTTCTTTACCCATGGAATGTAATATTTTTGCAAAGATGGACCACTTCACAAATGGTTATAAAGTCATNAAGACACTGTGTTTAAATAGACATTTAAATGTTTTTGAGATTTAGTAACTGATTTTTTAGACACTGCCTATCGCATGAACTGTAAAGTTGTGTGTGTTAGATGTAAAACATTTATAAGATGTACGGGTTGGAATTTGATTATTCCTCTCTTTGAAAAAATAATTCTGATAATTTGAAAAAGTATCTGGTAGCAAGGATGGAACAGATCACTGAAAAGTAGACTTGGATATTGTGGAAATAGTCTGTTTAATGAACAGACTGGAATAAAGCCTACTTTATCAGTTCAACTACTTTAATACACATTCATTTTTAAGAAAATATTTGTTTTAACATAAATAAACAAATTGTATCAGTGTTTGTGAATAAAATGCAAAAATGTTAATGATTGGTGCTTTCAAAGTGAGCTTAAAAATTATCTAAGACCTCTAGTCAAATTTGTCCTGTAGTAATAGCTATATAGATTATTGGTGTTTAAAGATCTGAAGTGTGAGTAGAATGTATTCAGCTGTTTAACATGTAGTTTAGATATTCTGAAGTATGCATGTAGAACTTAATATGTTCAAAATTAAATATTAATTTTAATATTTGGTTTGGAAAAGCATGTTATAATATAATGTTTTCACTATATGGCCTCTGGTGTGTTTATTTATTACATTTTTAATATTAATATGTTAGTACACTTAATATGTGAAATTAATAGAGAAGATTTTTCGTTAAAAATTCCCCTTTGCTTTTACAAATACTGCTTGAAGTTATCTAAAGGTTAAAGCTTTATCCAACATTTGGAGTTTGCTTTTTTTTGATATTTTTGGCTTCTCAGCTTAATATTAATAACATGGTGGCTTTTGGGAACTTTTTTTTAAAAAGCTTTCCTCTTCTACCCACACAGTCTTATTTGAGTCCCTTAGTCAGTCACCAAGCATGTTTGGAATAGTACCCAGTGCTTTGCAAGGGTTCATATTGCAGAACAGTCACATGTGGGTATTTGTAGTTATAAATACTTGACCAGTCTCCAGGGGTGGGGTTTCCAACCCTTTAAACAACCCTGTTGCCTGTTATCAAGCTAACTTTTTGCTCTTAGTGCCAGAATTGATTGTGGTAGGACATCTTCCACTGAGCAATAAATAAAATGGAGCATGATGGGTCTGCTTCAAATGCTGATAAAATCCACCAGAATCACCTGTCAGGTGGTACCGAAGACGAAGACCAAGACGCTGCTCTTACCATTGTGACTGTTCTGGACAAAGTAGCCACCATCGTGGACGGTGTGCAGGCAAGCCAGAAGAGAATAGAAGAGAGACACAGAGAGATGGAAAATGCCATAAAATCTGTCCAGATTGACCTGTTGAAGCTTTCACAGTCACACAGTAATACGGGCTATGTCATTAACAAGTTGTTTGAGAAAACCCAAAAAGTCAGTGCTCACATTAAAGATGTGAAGGCCCGGGTGGAGAAACAACAAATTCATGTTAAAAGTGTTGAAACCAAGCAAGAAGAAATAATGAAGAAAAACAAATTTCGTGTGGTCATATTCCAGGTAAGCTGGCATTTTTGTTCGGATTGATCACTGCAGGCTGGTGCATCCTTCAGTTGCCAAGTCCTGTCAGAGGTTTCCAGCGCCACATCGTAGCTGTGTATATTGTAGGAGTTCTGTGTCAGCAGAGAGAGCAGCATAAAGCCATGTCTGAGTTAACTACTGTACTATCATATCAGTGTTTTAAGCCTCTCAACCATTTCATGAAATATGAACTGTGGATCACAGCTGAGGCTATTTCTTGCCTTTGAAACTTAATATGGGTAAGGCTCTTTCAGTATATTAGCCATATTAGCATCATGCCCTCTCATAGACTCTGAGAATATTAGAACTAGAAGAGATCTAAGAAGCCTCTAGTTTAAAACACCTCTTTGTTGTATACAAAAAAAGAAACAGGACCAGTAGCTCCACAGTATGTTTTTTTCCTTATTAGGGAGAGGAAAGCCCGAAACAACAAAGTGCAAAAGTCTAAACTTTTCAGAATATGATTTGTCTGTTGGAATTTTTACATATAATATGTGAATTACAGTACTAAGAAAAACTGTCTATTAATGAATAATCAGGAAGTTTTCATTTTTCTTACAGTTATATAAATGTAGGAGTCACATAAGTAATTTCCTTTTATTTGATTACAAAGTCTTTTGACTTAGCTGATATAATAATTTTGGTGTGGCATTGTGCTTTGAGCTAAGTTCCTATTAATCTGTGTCTGGCGCTCATGATTTTTGAAATAGGAACGTACCCATGTCAAATGCTTAATATCTGTAATACATTTTAAAACTCTTACAAATCAAAAGGAACATTTGAGTTGCTTATTTTTATCATCTATTGTGGAAGAATGGGAAAGTCATCATCAGACTGTTCACAAAAAGCTAAATGTGCGGAATTTCACTTTTACGTACTTAAGTATTTGCAGTTACTAAAACATGTTCTCAATTTGAGGGTAGAAAAAAACCAAGCAATTTCGTATTCTGCTGGGGGCAGTATTAATTGGTACAACATTTTTGGAGGGCAGTTTTGGTAGTTTGTATTAAGAACCTTGAAAATTCACAAACCTTTGGCCCAGAAATTTCATGTCAGTTTTTTTGTTCTTAGCACAAAATCAGGAATGTGTTCAGGGATGTTCACTGATGCACATATACAGTGTTACCACACTGTATATTTAAAATGGATCAGTGCCCATATGTATAGGAAAAAAACCTAGAAGAATAAAAGCAAAATGAAATAGGAACAGAATTGGATTATGTAGGCAGGTATTTGTGAAATACTAGGGATGTGGACCATAACTCCCCACAGCATTCTTTATACATTAGTCAATTCTCCATAGCTCTCTGTTGATGGATAAAGTTACACTGGCATGGCAGAGTGGTATTTTGGATGTGTTTTTAAGAGCCTGTTAGTGATTTAGGAAGAATAGGGAGAAGGGAGAAGAGTTGCTTATTTCAAAGGGGGACAAGTTGGACTAAGCCGTTTGAAGTCCTTTACCGTTTTTTTCCTTTTCTTCCAGGTCCCTTGAAGTCCTTCTCTAGACTTAGAAGTTTGAAATAAATCAGTGGCCTTACTCTCACAGGCCAGTTCTAGTGTTAGTCTGTGTAATGGAGATCTAGATTTGTTATTGGAGAAAGTAGTATCCAATCTTCAATTCACTTTCCAAGGGCAACTAGCAGTAATGAGTATATCTCACCCTCCACTTGATTTGCAGCATGCTTAAAAATGTTCTCAGTATCCAGCATTTCTCCTGAGAACCTTTGTGCAAGGGGTGGACCAAGTACCAATCAGGATTTACAAAGGCCAGAGCAAAGAAGTTTCTGAAAAGTTCTAATTGACTCTTGTCTACTGACATAATCCTTTTTCTTAAAGTTGTTTCCATATTCACCTGTTCATTCCCTAAACTTATTTTTTCCTTTGAGTCCCTATAGTTACTTGAATGAACAGAAGATAGTATGAAAAAGCAACTGAGAGCGCTAGTTTAAGTCAGATCCCTTTCTCTGTAAGATACAATGCTGTGAAGACTGTGAAATTATGTTCAGAGTAAGCCACAGTTTAATAAGCATTTGCTAGCTTTTATAAGGGGGAAAGCTTGTAGAGAAAAGATAAAGGCAAGTAATTATGAACTTGGTGATTCATTAGATGTTAGAACACTGTGTACAGTGTTCAAGTGGTTATTCATAGCAGTTAAAATGAGTTCTTTTAATTCATTCTCATAGTTAATAAATATAAGTGGTTATGTTGAGATCTCCCCTTCTACTAAAATTGACTTGAAGCTGAGTAATTCAGCTATATAGTACACTTTCATTTCCATTTGGGTTTTTCCTCACAAAGTTTTCCCTGGATATGTCTTTTGGTGTTACTGGTATTTTATCTCCCATAGTTGTGCATGGCTAAGCTTTCACTTAATCGTGGACATTGGCATTTTAAAAAATTATCTTCCGTTTCTCATACAATTATGATTTCTCTCCTTTCATCTTGATGACTTTCTCATTGTGCAAGCCAGGAGTCTTACTCTACCTTACAATTGTGCTTACCAACCATAGGTCTGTGGTTACCAATGAGCTATTTGGCTATCCCCAGTGATAAGTCACAGACTTGTATATCCAAAGTTCCTCTAGCTATTACTTTGTACTCTAACCCAGAGATCTTGTTTGCTTACAAAAATCATGTTTTTACTTGGACTTTCACATGAAAAGATACATAATAATTGTATTTGGAAATCAACTATAATTCAACAGTATAATCTTCAATTATTATTACAGTATGTTCACTTAACTCATGGCATCTCTGAGTCACAGGAGTTAGAACAAATAGATCCACACAACAAGTACTTTCTCTGATTACCTCTGTTTTGTTTATTTTTAAACCTGATTTTGTATAATTTGTCATGCAATTGAAGAAGGGTATGTGATTTCTGAGTTAAGCTGTGTCTAATTTCTTCACACCAGGATTGTGAGGGTTTTCCCTCCTACCAAGTGGTAATTATTCTTTGGCTCTTTCCTTTTCTAATTATACCTTCTCAGGCCATACCAACCCACTCAGTGTTGCTGAAGCTACTCCCTGTAGCAGGTGTCAGGAAAGGATAGAAATAATTTTGCTGCTTCTGATTCATCAGAGAGCTATGAGAGACAACCACCCTACCTTTTTTTTTTAAATAGCTCCCAGATATTTTAGCTAAAGAATTTAATTCTAAATAAATATCTAAGAAATAAGGTTTCAGGAACATCTTCTTGACTGTCTTCAGGCTGAAGGTTTTGGGAACAGCATAAATGTGTTTCTTACGTATTTATAAAATGTCGTTGATTGAAACTGATTGAATCTGGAACTCAAGTAGGAGCAGTTTCTTTTAGAAATTTGTTCACTTAAAAATCTCATAATCTTTATTAGTTTTTGCCTGTTTAATTTTAGAAATAATCCCTAATAGTGAGTTGGGTGTTTTCAGCAACTGTGTTCCTAGGTCGGTTCTCA